TCCTCTCCTACCTGACCCCATGGCTGAGTGAGTGTGCAGGGGTGTGGAAGAGCCAGGTTTGCAGATGGGGAATGAGTGAGTGCCTTCTCCCGAGTAAAGCATTCTGTTGAATAGTCCACTCAAATGAGCCCATTTAGTCCTCAGGAGGACCCAGGAAGCTAGATAGTGTAACTAGATAGTATTATCTTCCTTTCGTAGATTAGGAGACAGGCCCACAGAGGTGAATGAACTTGGCCGAGATCAGACATCTAGTAGCTGGTAGAGCTGAGATTTGAACTGAGGGCTTTCTGACACTAAAGCCCAAGTGAGCCCTTCACTGCTGTATCAGAGTGATGATGTCTCTGGGGATGTGGAGGAGGAAAGGGACAAAGGTGAGAGGGTTTCTTAAAGTGAACGACATGGGCCCTGACCGGTGTGGCTCAGGGGGTTGGGTGCCATCCCGTGAACTGAAAGGGTGCTGGTTTGATTCCTGGTTGAGGCACGTGCCTGGGTTGTGGGCCAGGTCCCCCACTGGGGGCACAAAAGAAGCATCTGATTGCTGTTTCTCTCACACATCAGTGTTTCTCTCCCTTCCTTATCCTCTCTCTAAAAATAAATAGATAGACAGATAGATAGATAGATAGATAGATAGATAGATTAAACTCTTTAAAAATAAAATAAAATAAAGGACATTGGCGTGAGCCCCACAGTAAGCACTGGGGCAACCAAGTTTGAAGTCAGCCTTCAAGCTGGAGGTTTATGCTGCAGGAAAAGCTGCTGACCCAGTGAGAGGACGTTTTTGACCCTCACTGACACGGGGGCATTTCCCAGGAGCCCAGAAATTGAAAAGAACATGCCAGCTCCAGCCTGGCAACTTTGCCTAGGGAAAGGAATGAGGCAATAGGACCCGCCCCTGGGGCTGAGGGTAGGCTCCCATTGCCCCACGTAGCAGGTTGGGGGTGATGGGCAGAGGAGGAATGAGGTTGGGTGGGTGAGAACCTGTTTGCTGAGGTGGTTGCCTCCTACCAGGAACAGCAGCGTCCACTTTGCCGATGGCCTGAATCGGGAGGGATGAGGTGGTGCCTGGGACCCTAGCAAAGGGCTCAGACCCATTCCATTAGGACTGAAGCCCTCCCCGTGGTGTGGACGTAGAACTCCTGCCTTTCTTGGGAGCCCCAGGGTCCTCCCTGGATGGTCTGGGACTATCCATGACCAGGCAGCACTTGGAAGGGCAGCTTTGTGCCAGGGTTCTGATTCAGTTGTGACTCGGGGCCTTGTCGAGTGCCCCACTGCGGGTGGTGATGCAGAAAGTGGTTCTTGGGCTCTTAGCACAGCTGGAGCACAGCTGTGTTTGTGCAGCAGGTTAGGAGTGGGCCTCTTATCCCAGATGCAGCCCAGTAGTTTTCCGGGTTTACCTTTGCTCTGTCAAATGCGTGAGCCAGAAAGACAAGTGATCCATTACACAAAGTTTGGCTTCTTCCTGTTTCCCAAAGCCCTCGGGCTGCACAGGCGGGTTTTTAATTGTGACATTTGCTCTGGAAGTGCTCGTGACCAGTGGTATTGTAACAGTTCAGACAGCACCCTTGAGTTTGCAGAACAGGCAAAACTAAAATAGAACATGAAAACTGAGTCTCCCACTGTGGTTTTTAAATTTGCGTTTCTCTGATGATTAGTGACATTGAGTGTGGTTTCATATGTCTGTCTCCTGGCTGTGTGTATGTCCAATTTAGAGAAGTATTTCTTCAGGTCCTTGGCCCAATTTTTAATTGGATTGTTTGGTTTTCTGTGGTTGTTGAGTTGTGTGAGAGATATCACCTCATACCTGCCAGAAAGGCCATCATGAATAAATCAGCAAACAAGAGTTGGGAGGGTGAGAGAAAAGGGAACCCTTATGCATGATTGGTGGGAATGCAATTGGTGCAGCCACCGTGGAAAGCAGTATGGGAGTTTCCTCAAAAAGTTAAAAATGGAGCTGCCTTATGACCCAAATATTCTGCTTCTGGGAATATATCCAAAGAAATCCAAAACACTGATTTGAAAGAATATATGTACCCCTATGTTCATTGCAGCATTATTGATAATAGCCAAGATTTGGAAGCAGCCCAAGTGTCCATCAGTAGATGAATATGTAAAAGAGCTGTGGTACATGTACACAGTGGAATACTACTCAGCCATAAAAAGGAGGAAATCTTACCATTTGTGACAGTGTGGATGGACCTGGAGAGTATTACGATAAGTGAAATAAGCCAGTCAGAGAAAGACAAATACCGCATGATTTCACTCATATGTGGAATCTTATGACAGAATAAACTAACAAACAAAATAAAAACAGACTCATAGATCCAGAGAACAGACTGACAGCTGTCAGAGGGGAAGGGGGTTGGGGGGCTAGGTGAAAAAGGTGAAGAAATTAAGCAAAAAACAACAACAAAAATAGGTACAGACAAAAGAATGGTGATTGCCAGAGGGAAAAAAGAGTGGGGGGAGGTAGAGGGAAGATAAATGGTCATGGAAGGAGACAATATACAGATGATGTATCGTAGAATTGTATACCTGAAACCTGAATAATTTCATTAACCAATATCATCCAAATAAATTCAGTAAACTTTAAAAATTATTTCTTGAGGCAGAAGATTACTGGGAATTAGGATATCCTACATCAGGGTCCTTTATGGAAATGAAAGAAGCAGAACCCTGGATGGTGTCCCATGACGCCCCTCATTCTTGCAGAAGGCACCCTGCAGGATTCTAGTTTCCAGATCTCCACCTCCAAAGCCTCTAGGAGACCAGCTAGGACCCGCAGCTGGCCTAGGGCCAAACTGTGAAGGTTGCATTTGCCCCTCTGTTTAGGCTGGTTTTTCTTCTCAAAGTCACCCAAATCAGTAATTTAAGAATTGAAGACAGACTGGACTCTGACGAATCGGTGTGACCAAGGATTAGATAAGACTCCAAGGACGTGAAGTATTTTCTTTCCTGGAGAACCCTACTCGCTTGGGCCTCTCTCAAGGCTCTTAGCCCGGAGGGCACTGCCAGGCCCAGTGGAGGAGGTGCCGGCCTGAGGAGCTGAGAGATCTGTTTTCCCCTCTCTGCTCTGCTAGAACACTGCGTGAACCTATACAAGTCACGTAGCCTCTCGGCTCAACCCCACGTAGCCTCTGTTTGGCCCTCTGATAATTTGGTTGTAATAGAGCAGCAGTTTTCAACCTTCTTCTTCTGGTGGCACACACAACGTAATTACTAAAATTCTGCAGCACGCCAGAGAATATATTTTTTGCTGATGTGACCAAAAAATATTGGTCACATCAATATTGCTATAATTTGATTGTTTTACAAAAATATAATAATAGTAATTATCTACTCTTTTTGCTCCAAATTGGCTTTTTATATATATATATATATATATATATATATATATATATATATATATATATATATATATATATGTATTCTTGAATATAAGGATCTCTGGTACCAAGAATTACCAACCAGATGCAACCTTGTTATGTGACATGACCGATAAAATGCAACCCTGTTACATGACCTATGTATTCATGGTTCAAGACAGGGCTGGCTTCACACTGGATGGTTATTGTCATGTTGGCTGTTGTCATTTTTCAGTTTGACAGTCTAAAGGGAAAAATGTCAGTGCCCCTGACTAAATAGTCAGGTATTGCATATTTTTAAAAATCTTGTAGCACCCAGTTGAAAAAATGCTCTAACAAAGGATGACAAAGGAACTTTCAAACTATAACATTCTATAATTTCCACACACAAGTGTCACCATATATGTTATCTTTTAATCTTTATCTTATTTTATAATCTGCCCTGCTATATTATAAAGTTCCTTGAATTCAGGAACTCTACTATATACATCCTGGTACCTCCCAAAATATCTAGCAGAATGCTTTTCATATAGTAGATGCTTTAAAGGTCTGCTTGATTTATTGATTATAGATTGGCATATATTGGAAAAACCTACCCTGGGCCTGTAGATGATGACTTTTGTGAATATTTCAGAGCTGGGAGCCACTAGTGACCATTCTGAGTGACTGTGATTGACAGGCTGGAAAAGCTGTCAAGATGGTCCGCAGACCAGCTGATGATGAACTCCATAGTGTGCAGTGAGAGCAAATTGCTTCTCTACCTACAGCTTCTTTCAAGTACAGTGAAGGAAAAGTGGGACCTTAAGTCGGTGGATGGACTTCCTTCATTCTTGGAACCTGAAGCTTGCTTGAGGGCTTGGGCTGTTGTTCAACGTCTGTTTTGGAATTACATGTGGCAGAGGGTTTTGGGGGTTGTGTCACAGCTCGTCACTCCCGAATTCAGGCATTTCTGACCTTGGAAACACCCATGTCACACTATATCAGGTTACTAGACTTTAAATTCCAGGGCAGATGTGAGATGTGATATGAGATGTTTTAAGTTGTTGGCGTACATGTGTGCGTGTTCACAGCTAGTCTGCATGTGCCCCTGTCCTGTGTGTACAAATGTGTGCAGTGCGTATAACTTTATCCTACAGATGCCTTGTCAACTGCTAAGTTATTTACACAATGAACTTAAGCTTTCATGTTTGTAAATGCGGTCATAACTTTAGGCTTCCAAGTCTCACTGAAAGCAAGTTTTGGGGTTACAGGGTATAGAAGTTTTCAACTTTTTCCCCAGCTGGTCTCTGAACTCATGGTTCACAGATTCAGTGAAATCAAGCATATAAGTGGCACAAGAAAAAGTCAACATTGCTTCACTGTACCACAGAAATTGGAGTATAGGAATCACTGTTCATTGTGCAGCTAGAGAAGAGCCAGTCTGCACTGAGAGCCCCGACTATAATTTTTTCCAATAGGTATTGATGATGAGGGTGGTCATCGGGTGTGTGTGAATTGAGTTGTCAATCAAAAGAAAGCTCTCTCTGGTGTCTTGAGGAGGAAACGGTCCCTGTCTAAGTTTTAAGAAAGTCTCTTTAAATTTGTGCCATCACCTCTTGGCCATTGGTGACTGTAATGGACTGTCTCTGTCTTCTACAGCTCGGAATCGCGATTGGGTTCTTGGTCCCTCCTGTTTTGGTACCCAACATCGAAGACCAGGACAAGCTTGCCTACCACATCAGCATCATGTTCTATATCATAGCAGGTGTCGCCACTCTGCTTTTCATCCTTGTCATTATTGGTAAGTTCATTAGTAGGCTGCCGGGGGGAGGTGGGGAGGTGCTACTGGCTTTGTTGGGCCCTTGTGAACATGGTCACAGCATGTGGCAGACACTCACAGCAAATGGAGGCCAGGCCTCTGCTGGTTTTCAGTGCCCCTAATACAGTGCCAGTTGGTCTTGTGTGGATGTATTGTCAGTGGCTCCGTAAAGGTTTAGTTGTGTTCAAACAGTTCCCCAGTATGACCTCACCAGAATGAATGGTCAGGCTGTGGACCCCTGGTGAAACCCCATGAGCATTTTTACAGGCATGTGCTCTTCATGCCTGACCTCATGTAACCCTCAGTGACCCTGTGAGTGAAGGTGCCATCATCGAACCCCTGTGACAAAGAGGAAGACTTGGAGGAGTTAAATAAATCATTGAGGGTTAGATAGTGGCAGAGATGTTTGGGTTTTAGCCTAAACATATCTAATGCCATACTCTAAATTTCTGGAACAAAACAGAATTAACCCACAAACACTAATAATCTCATAGATTCATCTGAGAATACCTGGGTACCACATTTTTAATGCTTTGAAAAAAACATATAAAAATAATATATGCTCATTATGGAAAAATCTAGAAAATACGAAAAAAAGAAAAGAATGATCATTAATTTAGCCTCGTACAAGTTAATTGCAACCTCAGATAACTACTATTAATTTTATATGCGAATGTATTTAATCACTGAGATATTTGGTTAATATAATTTTTTAAAAATTCTTTTATTCTGTAAGTTTCAGGTATACAGTATTCTAACTCAACATCTGTGTACACTTTAAAGTGATCACTACCGCAAGTCTAGATACCAATCCTCATCATACAATTGATGGATAATCTAACTTTATATCATCCTTTATAATGAGTGATATTACATGGGCGGTGATAACTTCAGAAACAGCAGAGTGGAGGCTTTTATGGTCAGTTAATCACCCATCTAAAGGTTAACCAGTTTTCTTTCCAATACCTGAAAGTTTCACTCACTGGGTTAAAGTTTTCACTCCTTCCTTCTGGCCTCACCTCCAGGGTCAAAGAGGTTTATAATCGTTTACCTCATTCAGCTGTTCCCACCATTACAATTTCCTCCCCTGCGCCCAAGTTAAGAAAGGGCTGCCTGCTGGCTTCCCGAAGCTGGCAGGATGTCTCAGACCGTGGATAGGACCCGGAGTCCCCGGAGTCCCTGGACTGGTGATAAGCTTGTGGAGCTGTAGGTAAGAGCAGATAAGAGCCAGCCAGCCAGGGCCCCTCTTACTCAGCCAGACCTGCAGTTTCAAATTGTAATGTACCCAGCTCTAAATTCCTGTGTTTGTGGCAGACGAGGGCGTGGAATCCTGGAGGTAGGATGTCTCTACATTTTAGCACTTTATTATCAATCTCGGACAGTAGCTCATTGAATAAAGAACTGAAAGATCTCACTTGAATTCTGGTTTATGGTTGCTAAGGCCTTGAGCAAGCAGGTTGCAGAGGTCAGTAGCCCCTGCCTTGCTTTCTTTTCCCTCCTGGAAGGGAAGGTGAACGGGCAGGACAATGGATGAGCGCTTCCCAACAGCAGGAAGTTATCCTGGAGGAAATTAGCCTGGCTCTGCAGCCAGAGGGCTGGGTGGTGGGGAGGGGGAGGCTTTGATCTTCAAGACATATTTCCAGAGCTTCCTTTAACTGGAGGAATTCTCCTGGGGTGAGGAGGAGGCCACGTGGGGCTTGCTTGGACCGGTTGGGGAAAGGTTTAGCTAAAACACTGGTTAAACTGATACGCCTCCAGAGAACTGTATAGCAATCAAGGCAGTTAAATTGGTTGCACCCGTTGTACCAAAAATAGAATAAAAAATGAATGGTTTCCCCGCTCGTCCCCACCCTTGTCCTTCCTATCAGAGCAGCCTCTCCCACAAGAGCATGCTGGTCATCCTCTAGTCCCTCGGAGGCAGATGTCTGATTCAGACTTTGAGAAGTTCAGAGTCCATTCACTGACAGCTCACTCAGGGGTGTTCACTGACTGCCCTGCACCAGGCTCTGTGCGGGGAGGCGCAGGCAGCACAGTCCCCAACCCCGCAGGAGGCGCTCTGGTGCTAAGCCATTAGCTGGGCTCACTACTCCCAGAGCCTCAGCTCCTCTCTCTCTCTCCAGGTATTATTCGTGTTTTTCTCAGTGCTCTGTGATGTGCTATTTGCTGGTTATTATGGGACTCCTCGATCCTTGAGCACTGCCTGGGTGGCCCCAGGGGTTGCAGCCGTCCAGAGGCCATTAAGAAAAAGTAATCGACACACCACTCACTCAGCCATGGACTATGAAAAAAATAGGTATCATCTGATTTATTCAAGAGAGGCAGCTGTAAAGGATTTACTTGACGAATTGATATTTCCCTTTGAGTCTTAGCTCCTTCTCAGGTGATGGAGCCAGCTCTCATCTATGTGTAACTCTGTGGGGGTCACCACTGGGATGTTCAGTGGTCTCTCTGTTTCTTTCCTTTCAGTATTCAAGGAGAAGCCTAAACATCCACCCAGCAGGGCCCAATCCCTGAGCTATTCCTTAGCAACCACTGATGCTTCGTACTTAAGTTCCATCATCCGGCTCTTCAAAAACCTCAACTTCGTGCTGCTTATCATCACCTATGGTAAGGTACAGGTGTGTCCTGGAGGGCACTCAGACTGGGAGCGGGAGACCAGAGGCCTCATGTGTCTGTGCATCTTACTTCTCCCACATACCAAATGCACATGTAATATAATTGTTTAGAGTTGACCAGAACAGTCAGCTCTGTCTCAGGGCCTTTGCACATTCTGTAGAGTCTACCTAGGAAACCATTCCTTCCCCTGTCAGGTTAATGGACAAATGCATGCCGATCCTCCAAGTCTCATCTCAGCATCACTGCCAGAAAGCCATGTTGGATGGTCTTTCCTCTCTTAGTGTGCTGTTCCATTTCCAAGTTTGTCTTCTCACTGGACTGTGACCTTCCCGAGTGCAAGGATGCATCTTTTCTTCTTTATAGTTATGTCTTTTCTTCATCAGCAGTGGCTGGCCTGGAGTGGCTGGTGGTTAATGAGTGAATGCCTGACTGACTGAGTCAATAAATGCATGCATGCATGCATAAATGAGTCTTGCCATAGGAACCACTCAACCAATCTTCCTTCATTTTCTAACATTGACTCCTATATATTTTTTTTTGTCTGCAAGATAATATTCCTGTTTCATTTCATCTTGTTGGCTTTGGTAAGATAAATGTTTATGTTTGTGCTGGTGTATTGGCTTGCCTGTCCAGCATGGTGGTTCTGCCTCTTTTTCCCAACTTTTAATAAGAATGTTAGACCCAATAAGAAGGGTAAGGACAGAACCTCACGGCATTCCAGTAAAGAGATCCACCCAGCTGTACTACTGTCCATCCTACATCTGACCATTTAGTCTGCCAGCTAATTTAAAACCAAGGGTCAGCCAGTGTGTAACGTGCCCAGTAACTATGTAAAGAAAATGAGGTTGGTTTAACACGGCCTATGCTCGGGGAAGCACAGTGGACCACAGCCTTATGCTCTCTGTAGGTTCACAAACTATGTGTTTTATAACAGCATTTGCTGTGTGCCAAGACTTTTCACATGTGCTTTTATTTCACTTCCACCACAGCCATGTTAGGTAGGTACTCTAACTATCCCCATTTCGCAGATGTGGAAACTGAAACTCAGAGAGATTAGGTAACTAGCCCAAGATCAGGCAGCTTTTTCTGGATTCAGGTACAGGTTCGTCTAATTCCAACACCTGCGCTCTTGATGCCTGTTACACAATTGCCTGTAGTTTTTTCCCTAGAACTGTGCCACAGTTTTATTTTAGGCTTATCGATGCCCTTCATCTCAAACTATTTATCTGCCAAGGCATTGATAAGAGATGGTACCATCCACGGGTAGAGAGGCTCGCCTAAGTGGTTTGGGCATAGGCAATAGTTAGATGACCTCTCATCTGGAATAGCTCTAGATCAGCGATTTTCAGCCTTCATCTCCTGGTGCACATAAACTAATTACTAAAATTCTGTGGCACACCAAAAAAATATATGTTTTTTCCAACCTGACAAAAATAGGTATGATTTTGATTCACTCACAGCGGGCAGCTATTGTTGTGTTGGCTGTTGTCACTTTTTAAATTTGACAACCTCAGGGAAAAAGGGATCAGTGCCTCTGACAAAACAGTCAGGTGTGGCACGTCATTCTTGCGGCACACAAGTCAAAAATCGCTGCTCTGGATAACTAGATTGGTCTTCAAGGTCTCAGGTCTGTATTTTCATTCTCCCCAGCTTTTCAGTTCTTAGGATGATTCTGCATCCATCCGCAATACTGAGCTGGCTCATACAGGCTGATGGGCAGAGCAGTTCACTTCTGAGTTTCTGGAAGCATTACACTCTGTTGTCTGTAGACAGAATTTATTAACATTTTCCTCAAAGGCCTGGGACTATCTCAGTGAGAGGGAATTAAACTAATCTCCATGTTTGTACTCATTTCAGAGAACCACAAGCCTAATTTCCATGGTAGAGAATTGGACTTGGAGACTAGGCTGTTTGCCAGCAAGGAAATAATTCTTAGACCTATTCACAGATTTGGAAAATTTTTTATTGAGCCATTACTGTGTGTCAGGCACCATGTTAAGGCTTTATCTGCATTATCTCTTTTAATCTTCAAAAACAAATCTGGGATAGAGGTCCTTAACTCTATTCTGTTTTATTCCTGAGGAACCTGAGACCCTGGTTTAGTTCCTTGCCCACAGTTGGACAGCTAGCAAGCAATAGAGCTGAGACCTACACTCTTGTCCGTCTGATGCCAAAGCCTGTCTTTCTAACCAGTGTGCCCTTTTGCCTCCGCAGGCAGGACACAGCCTCTTGGAGACAAAGCTGGGGCTCTTTTCTCAGCCCACGTGCCCCAGTGGCCTTTGGGTCTGCCTTCCTCAGATATAATTCTCAGAACAATTACCTGGGGGTTGCTTTCTTCTAGAGTGTGGATTTAGAGTTTTAGAGTTTTGGAAACAGGACCAACATTCATACTGGCCAGCCATCTGTGGGATTTGGGGGTGGCAGGGCATCAGTTTAGTGTGTCTCTTTAAGGTGTACAGGTCATGTCGAGGCAGTCCACCTGAGAGTCTCTGCTTTCTTGGCCCACCATCTTTGCTTCAAATTTAAAACAACAGCAACAAAACCTTCTGTAAATCCAACATATGGCAAGCATTCTAGCAGATAAGAGAATTGCATGAATACATTTGCAGGACATGGGTGGATGTGCCTAGGAGTAAGGGCCTTGAATGCTGGACCAGTGAGTTCAGAGTTGTACATAAGGAACTGGAGGCCTGAGTTGGGTATTTACTCTGTCAATTCCTGAGTGAACCGCCTTCACCCATCTTTTGTTCTTCTAACTCCCACTGCCCCTCAGAAAATAGTAAAAACATTAGCTTCCCGTTGAAGTTCTCTGAGTGGAAATGAAAGCTTTACAATTAATTGCAAATAAAGACACTGCATGCATCATCCACATTGCTGTTGCATTGATTAATGTGCTGATTCCTATATTCTTTCTTTGGTCTGAACCAGATCTCCCCAAGTAGTGAGTAGCTTTTGTGCAGCCGGTGGGATGTCCAGTGTTGTGTCTGTAGTGGTTTTCCAGGGCTCTCCAAGCTGCTGAGACAGCTACCCTGAGCTGAGGTGCAGCTCAGTGTACCCTGAGCTGATACACTGAAGGCTTTGGAGGAACTTCCCTCAAGGTTCTGGCCACTACCCCTTAGAGGTAGGCTTGTGAGAGCGCCATCAAGTTACATTTGAATTCCAGATAAACCATGAATTCTGTTTAGTATAAACATGTCCCGTGTGATATTTAGGGTATGTTTATGTTTAAAAAAATTATTCATTTTTCTGAAATTCAAATTTAACCAGATATGCTATTTGTTTAAGGAAAAAAACAAATATTTTTTTCTTAAATCTGGCAGCCCACTTAGAGGGGAGGACTTGTAGAAGTGAGTTTGTGCTTGGCGTTGCCAAACTATCACCAGAAGAAGAAACTGCTTCCTTCTCTATTAAAAACCGGATTCCTCCTCCAAGCTGGACAATGCGGGAGGACACAGGCTGAAAACAGATCCTCAGAGGGTCTAACAGATTTTGGGGGTAGGGCAGGTCTTGTGATGTGTATCAGCAATTGGGGTGAAGTGAAGAAAAGAGCCTTCTTCAGCCACCTTCTTTTTGTGTCTCTAGGTCTTGCTTTCACACGTCCTCCTCTATTCTCTCTTCATCAATGGTGATGGCGTAATGATTGCCGTGTTAAAAAGAATTGTTGAAGCCCTGGCTGGTGTAGCTCAGTGGATTGAGCGCGGGCCTCAGAACCAGACAATCAAGGTTTGATTCCCAGTCAGGGCACATGCCTGGGTTGCAGGCCAGTTCCCTGCAGGCCACTTCCCAGCAGGGGATGCACAAAAGGCAACCATACATTGATGTTTCTCTCCCTCTCTCCTTCCCTTCCCCTCTAAAGATAAATAAATAAAAAATCTTAAAAAAAAAAAAAAGAATTGTTGAAAATTCTCTTCCTCTGAAGTGTTCTTAGGGGATACTTTTCCCTGTTATACCCAGCCTTGCCTCCATTGCTTCTTTTTTAAGAAAGATTTTGTTTTTTAAAAACATTTTATTTATGTATTATTAGAGAGAAGTCAAGGGAAGGAGAAAGAGTGGAAGAGAAATAGCAGTGAGTGGTTGCCTCTCACATGGCCCCCCCTGGGGCCTGACCTGCAAGTCAGCCATGTGCTCTGACTGGGAATTGGACCAGCCACACTTTGGTCTGCAAACCAGCACTCAGTCTACTGAGCCACACCAACCTGGGCTATTTATTTGTTTTTAGAGGAGGGAAGGGAGGGAGAAAGAGAGGGAGAAAATCATCAGTTAGCCACCTCCTGTACAAGCCTTGACTGGGGATTGAACCAGCCACCCCTTAACTTGCAGGGTGACACTCAAGCGAACTGAGGCACATCAGTCAGGGTGCCTGCATTGCTTCTGAATACTCTTCTAGTGCTTAGCATCTGAATTCAGAGCCTCAATGTGTGTCCTGAGGATACCTCCCTTGGGGCTCTCAAGGGCTTCACCATTGCCCCACTTACATGGGCTTAAGGGAGGTGCTTTGTGCTCCCTTAAAATTCTAGCTTAAGAGTGGGTATGAGGAGCCTCTGGGGCAACTTCAAGTGTACCAATATTTGCATCATGGGAGTGCCTGAAGAGAAGAGAGAGAACAAGTCATTGGAAACCTATTTGAAAAAATGACAGCAAATTCTTAACTTGGTGAAGGAAATAGACGTATAAGTCCGGAAGTACAGAGAGTTCCAAAAAAGATGAACCCGAAGAGGCCCACACCAAGACACATCATAATTAAAATGCCAAAGGTTAAATACAAGGAATCTTAAAAGCAGCAAGAGAAAAGCAGTTAGTTACCTACAAGGGAGCTCCCATAAGACTATCAACTGGTTTCTCAAAATAAACTTTATAAGTTAGAAGGGATTAGCAGGAAATATTCGAAGTGATAAAAAGCAGGGACCTACAACCAAGATTGCTTTACCCAGAAAAGCTATCATTTGGAACCAAAGGACAGATAAAGAGCTTCCCAGACAAGAAAAAGCTAA